GCAGGAGTTGAGCACACAATTACTCCCAGAAAAAACTGACGAAGTCACACAAAGAGTTTGTGGCCAAGAACAGAACTGAATTTGGGCAGAAGCCCAAATATTGTGACCACATCATTAACTGCAATGGGGCCAACCTTGGCAAGGCTCCAAGCACCAGGTGGGTGTCATGCACTGTGGAGAGATGAGCAGGAACACCACCGGCAGGTGACTACCAGAAAGGGATGAACACAGCTGCATCCATAGCCAGTTCTGAGGGCCACCCAGTTCTTCTGGGGGGCTCAGGTCTCCCCTGGAAGGGATTCAGGTCAGCCAGCAGGTGCTGGGCCCATACAGACCCCTCCAGAGCCATGTGTGGCTCCAGAAAAACAGGAGAACTCCACATCAGACCCCCATCTCACAGCAGAGCGGGGAGCAGGCAGGACCCTCACAGCTCCCATAACAAAAAGAGGAAAATCCTCCAAAAAAGCTGTTTCTGATACAGCTGACAATTTCTAAGTGATGGTAACTAAAGCCAGCCAGAGAGTACAGTTTAGGCTCAAGGTGCCCAAATTTGCTCCACAAAGGCACCCTTGCTAAAGTAAAAGGACAATCAACTGCATTCACACAGGTCCCCTCTATTTTTACTTCATTCCCAAACTGGATAAAATCCCTTCGATTCTAGATCACCCTTCCAGTGTCCTGAATCAAGAAAACAGCTCAGCCACTGTGTAAGGCAGTCATGTAGTGCTGTATGTGCAGGATCTAACGTTTCAGCACTGCTCATCAAATGCAGGTGAGTCCCTAAATGTCCCACAGGCTTCCCTCCACATTTTACAGAGAGTAAAGAAAGGCTAACACCAAAGTGTCTACGGCCATAGTGAGAGGCACAGAACGGCTGTGTGCTGCTAAAACACATACATGCTCTTCCAAGTGATTTTCTTTTCCTGCAGAAGGGGAGTGGGTGCAGATGCTGCAGCCTGGTTGCTTACCTGCACACTTGAAGCTCTGAACTGTGAGCCCTCTCTCTAGAGACAGCGTGGTCAGGATGCTCAGGAAGCTGGTGGTCACAGACTGGCGCTTGCTCTTTCTGAGGTTATTTCTAAAGGTCTGATCTCCAGGTTTGTTCCTAAGTGTGACCTCTGGGTTCTGAGTTAAAATTCTAGTAGCATTGGCTGCTGCTCTCAGTGCCTCCATCCATTCCTGGGCCCTCTGACGGGTCTCGGCACGCAGGCGGAGGACATCTTGAGGAAAAATTACCTGAAAGCAAGAGTCACAGCCATCCTGAGTATCTGTCTGGACCGACAGGCACACATCGACATTGTAGCTCAGCAGAGGATCTTCATCAAGCCTACCCGGTTGGAACGCCATGAGGTAAGACCTGTTCAAGACAAACGTAAATGCCTTCCAGTTATTCTGGACAGTTAACCTATAAAGAGTCCCTGACTTGAGAATATTTTGGTACTCTTTAGAGTTTTCAGTCAAATTCATGGATAGGAAGAGCTCCATAGGCTTCTCTAACAATTCATTGTCTTGGGAAAGGTCACTGTTATTTTCAGGCTTTGGCACATTCTCCAGTTTCTCCTGCTGTCTTGTGAAAGCAGGCACAGAAGCACGCACCGCTTCCCAGAGTTTCTGTCCCCAGTCCAAAGCCTCCCATGAGGACTCCGCCTTCAGCTGTAGCTGCGAGTTGTCTGACAGGACAGTGTCCACCACCTTGGTTTCAATGCAACCAGTAACAGTAACCCTTTGAAAACGCATTAGTGGATACACGGTGGGAAGAGTCTGGTTGCCACTGCTGTCCAAGCAGTACAGGTACAGTTTGTATGGGGAGAGCTCAGCGTAACAGGTTTGCCAGTAGCTGTCATTGTCTCTTCTAATGTCTAAGTATCCCTTCTTCAGAATATTTGGGAACATTGGCTTGTGTTCTGGAGGAAACAAAATGAGAATGTTACCATTAATTCTTTTTAAATAATAGTTTCAAATTGCTACGTCATTCCGGCTTATACATCTCTCCCACCCATACATGATATACCTGGAAGATAGGATTACAGAAACAGCCTTCACCCAACAGGTTATAATTATCAAACACAAGCACTGACTCTACGTTTGAGCCAAAGAGAATACAGTCCTTTTTTATCCAGAGGTACCAAAACACTTTACAGAAAAGGGACAGGGAAACAGAGGGACAGAAACACAAAGCAATTTCCCTGAGATTATCCAGAATAGTGACAGAGCAACCAAACACTGCAAGTCTCCCAGAACCTAGTCCAGATGAGTACGATATTATCAAGTAATCGATTGCCAAATAAAATAGATTTCAACACTGAGAAACACATTGAAATTAAAACAACACCTTCCCCTCCTGTCCCCATTTCCCAGGCTTAACTTCATGTTTTCACACACAACCCCTCTACCTTTCCCCTACCGCAAGCAGCACAGGGGGAAGGGGAACGGGGGGTCATGGCCAGTTCCTCTCTGCTGCTCCTTCCTCCTCAAACTCTTCCCCTGTTCCAGCATGGGTCCTCTCCAGGGGCTGCAGTCCTTCAGGATAAACCTGCTCCTGCATGAGCTCTCTATGGCCACAGTTCCTTCAGGAAATCTCCACCTTCTCCAGCATGAGGTCCCTCATGGGTCTGTGGGGAGATACGTGCTCCACCATGGCCTCCACAGGGGAATCCCTGCCCCAGCACCTGCAGCACCTTCTCCTCCTCTGACCCTGGGCTGCTCCTCACACTTTTTTCCTCACTCCTCACACCTCCGTGCAGTGCTTTGCCCTTTCTGAAACACACTCTGCCAGAGAGGCCCCACCTGTGGCTGACAAGCACAGCTGTGTCCCACAGAGGGGCGGCTGGAACCGGCTGGAACCAGCCAGAACCCGGCCACTGCACCTGGACTTAGCCCAGGACAGGGGGAATGGAGAACTGGGCCCAACCACGGCAGCTTCTTACCACATTTCAGCATGACCCAGGACCAGGACATTTTGCACAGCTCTGTTAACTAGAGCAGAGCTTTGCTGATTTCTGAGAATCGGCCTCAGGACCAGCAAACATGAACAAAAATGAAAAGAGGCTGCTCAGATTCAAACACATATCTAAGCACCTCAGCACTTCAGGTGCTTCGGAGCAGAACCCTTCACAAACCTCCGCCCAAGGCAGAGTTGAGGGGAATTTTCTTCGTCCCCAGAAAACCAGCCATACACGAGTCACTCCAGGCACCAAAGTGATATGAATTTAAAAAGAATTATCTAAAGCATTTCTGAGTTTTCAAAAAGGTTTCCATGCAAAATTTGTTCCAATTTGATTTGCACCACTTCAGCCACCATTAATACATGCAAACGTCATATTTTCACCTTGGGCTGGACATGTGGCTCTATGCAGTTTTTGTTAGTCCCTGTACAAATTCAGTGGTATTCACTGTTATGCTCTAACACTGACTTTAATACGTGGCACCCCAAAACAACCCAGTCCTAAGGAGCAAATTCTTGCTCCCATTTGACTTCTACTTCACCTTTCCAATAAGGGTCTTGACTTACAAACAGTGGCAGAATTAATAGATACCGGTGGAATTAATAGATACCGGTGAAGAGGTTTCTGCCTCCAGTTGTCCATCTCCCTTGGAGACTGCTATTCCCGACGCAGGAGCAAGGTAACCACCTGGGAACAGCTCCTCATCCACTGCCCGGTACAATTAGGTCAAAACAAAATCAGCATCAATTGACCTTAACACACAGCATTACAAACCTCAGCAATACAGGAGCTGTTTCACTCCTGGTCTCTGCCCTTGGGCTGACAACCTTTGAAAGAGGGAGAGGGTAGACAGCTGGAGGCGCAAAATACTTCCAGTGTCTCAGCTTAACCAGTTACCACTCATGTTAACAGGTTAAGCTTTAACAAGTTTTAGACATGATCACCTCTGAGTATATGTAGAACATCTTCAGCGCAGAGCTAAGAGAACAGAAGCATCTGGGCTTCATCCCCATCTGTACTGGGCTTCCCAGCTAATACAGCCAGGATTGCTGGCCAAGCTGCTCGCTCTCATGACTGCTGGCTAATGGTCTGTCTATCCTCCCAGGGGCACAAGGCGAGCCAGAGACTATGAGTATTTGAGGGACTGAGTTAATGTCCAAGGAGCTTCTGATACCAACTGGTAAGAAGGCAGAACTTGGGCTGTAACCTACAGCCTAAGGAGATGCTCCCGTCCTTGGCTGAAAGCACTGCCGTAGTGGTTGTGAGAGTTTCATGCGTGGGCAGGAGGAGCATTCAGGACAGCAACAGTGTAAAAGCTTTGGTTAGCTCTTCAGTGAAGACAAACTTTAAGGATTTATAAGGATTAAGTAGACAAGTTTCAGTCAAACTTCATGAACCTACATGAGAATGTAGGTTTTATGTACTCAATGTGAGCATGCAAACCTTATGGGGGTTAAAAAAAATGCGTGAAGGCTACCTCCCATCCACACAAACGAAAAGGTTGCACTTAGGTTTCGCCTTGCCAGCTCAGCCTCGGCTTCCCCATGTCACCCACACACTCAGAATGGAGCCTGCATTTAACACCATGTTCAAAGCACTCTATGCTTTACCTACAAAGATTTCCTGGATATATGACTAAAAGCGTAACAACAGTTAAAAATTTGCTATTTTGGCACTAGGTCTGAAAAAGTGGAAGAGAAATCAATATAACTATACCTTGCACATAAATAAGCTACTCAAGAGTATTTCAGCTAAATATGAAAACTGAAAGCCTAATCTAAAACTCAAAATGGTACAGAAAAAGCACACTTTCATAGCCTAAATGGATAAGATACATGTGCGCATGTACGCACACTAAAAGAGAACCGATTTTGTTCACCATACATCTCTGGCCCTGACATTCATTAGTATTTCTGCGCTAACTCAAAAGCCATTAATTTCTCTGAAACCCACACTAATCCCTTTGTAGTGCAGATAATGGGCAGCCATTCTAAAGTCATCTTCCCTTTCTATTAATCCAATCAGGGAGGCAGCGCTTCTGCAGCTCCAACTGCAATCTCTCTCGCTTCCATCAAGTACAGATGACAGCTCAAGCTTCTCCATAATAAGAAAACTCGTAACCTTCCCCCAGTCACCCCTCCTTCATCTGCACACAGGTTTGCTTGTCTTTTGTTGAGTTAGAGAAAGGCTATCTCTCCCCTGCCTTTCACAGAGGCACCCTCCTCTCCCTCCTTCGCCCCACTCCTTCCCTTCAAGCTCCCATGAATCGGCTCTACTGGCTCTCGCTCTAACTGGGACAGAACCAGCAGCCAACTTGATTAAAATTCAAATGCCTCATATTGTTTAGGTCAGGACAATAGATGCTGGCAGAGACAGACTGAATCCATATGCTACACACACACCTTACAACTCTCTGCTCCTTTATCTCCCTGACGTGCAGTGCGCCAGATAATACCTTTCCACTCAGAGAGCAAATGCTACCATCTCTCCATCCACCTTCCAAACAGAAACTGCATCTCTTTTCCTCCCTACAGAGACAGGGAGAGTAAATTGAGGAAGAGTAAAAAAAAAAAAGGGAAATAATCACAGTAAATGGCCCACGCCTGAGCCATTTGGAGTTATAATATCAAGGGAAGAGGGGGAAGAAGGCAGAGGGAAACAAAGAGAGACTCAGCAGCTGGGGACAGGGCAATATCTTCCTCAGCATCTCTCCTCCCCTTTGGGAACTGCCCACTCATCCCGGCTAGGAACCCTGCACCAAGCACACACCTGCCCCTCTCCTCACTTGGGGGCAGTTGGTGCAACCAGCACCACAGGAGACAGAGCCCAAATGTTGTCTCAGCATGTCCAGAAGATATATGATCCTGAATAACTGACTGTACTTGCGTCCCTGTCAGCACAGCAGGAAAACTTGCCCTGTTCTCCACCACTGAAGCATTTCTGATGACAGTAACACCAAGCAACATGGAAAAGAGCAGAAGCAGAGACGCCTAGTTTCTGAGGGGTTTGTCCCTTGAGGTGGCACTCCTCTCTGGATTCTCTAATGCTTAGTAAGAGACGAGCATAAGTTACAGAGTTTTTGTCAATAGTCCTTGTCTCTGATTTCCATAGAACTTAGCAGACACCTTTGGGACTTAAAATGCTCTCAAATTGGGTTGGACTAGTCACCTGCTTGGCGGGGTTTGCTAGATCAGCGACAAACTGTGCCTCAGCCAGTGTGACTCAGGTCCACAATGTCCACTTCCCTCCTACTTAAAAATACAGTCTTTTCTTCTCACCTGTTTTCCCATCTGTCTCTGCAGGTATATCTCTTTCAGGCAAGTATATCTGATTCCACTTGGTCCTGAAATAATGGCATTGATATTTAACCACAAATTTCCAGCAGATGGCTGTCCTGGAGCCAAATCTGGCTGCTTCTCCCAATACCACCTCTTTTCAAGGGACCACCACAGCAATGGGACTTGTAACTAGATAGCAGTTTGCAGTCACTTATATGTAAAGAAACAGCATCTCTCCCCAGCAGAAGGACATTCACTCTTTTTCATCTTCCTTAGGCTTAGAGAAAGCAAAACCTGCTTTGAAAATGTTGAACTTGCAAACTCTTAATTTTAGATTTGTGCCTTGCTAGTCAGGCTGGCTTAGCTGTTCACCAAAAATAAGCTCCTCACTGAATGAACTGCCTAAACACATGGATAAAGAACCTGAACAAATTAATCTTTATGTTTTTCCCTTCAGGTGTGGCATTGTAGGAGAAACATACAAGAAACTCTGCTGAGGTCTACAGGACCCCAGCTGCCCATCCAATCTTTTTTGCTTCTCTGCAGCAAGCTGAACACTTGTACAGTGTTCGCTGAGCAAACCACCAGCACCCTGTGCATACTGACACAGTGCCTGTGCCAAGGGGGCAGCGGAGAAGGAGGTTGGATTCAGTCAAAGTGCAAGACCAACCCAGAACAGGA